CCGCCAAGGTGTGGAAGAGGGTCTGACTTAGGAAAGATCTGGCAAGCAAGGGTCCCCACGGGGAACTGCAGGGAGCTGGCTGCGCTGACCAGGCCACAGCCCACGGGGAACACAGAGCCCACGAAGGGGAAGTGATCTGGTTCGCCCCCAATCCACGTAGGCCTGTGCACCTTGCTGTGCTCCAGCCCCAGTGGGGGACAGCAACAGCACAGGGATGTCCTGCAGCGCAGGCTCAGCCCTACAGCAGGAGAAAGTCTGTGCAGAACCATACAGTGAGCCTCAGGGACAAAGCAGAGCACTAGACCTCTGTGGGTCCAGGAGCTGCACCAACAGCATGGGTGCACCTCATCACTGAGCAGAGCCACTGCACCTCTGTGGCTGGGTGCAAATCAGGGGTCAGGAGACCCATCAGACACCACGCAGGGCTGCGAGCACCAGGAGAAACAACAAGGAACTCCAGTGTGTCCAGGCTCTGCAACACAGAGGAATCTGTGCCTAAAGGTAAACGCTGCCTCCTCTCCTCCCTCCTGAGTCACCAGTGACAACTGCAGACACAACCATTTCTATCCCAAATTTCCATAGGCATTTCTAGTCAGACCAGTCCTATTGCTAGGCAGAAACGGCCCAGCAGGCAGGCTGCACCCATAGGAGTGCTCACAGAGTGAGCACAGGCACCACTGAGCTACCAAGAAGCTCAGGCTGGGGGAAGAGTCACCCAAGCGTGTGCTCAGAAACCCTCCCTGGCAGGCCAAAAGGGGCCGATATTTCCCCATCAGCCCATCATCCTTCATCCAACATCCCACCAGCTTCTCCTGGCAAGGGACACATCCAGCCTCTAGGGATAGGGGTGAAGGCTCCAGCACTGCAGAGCCTGCCCATCATAAGAGAGACTGAGGATTTAGCACAGGGATATGTGGCTGTGACTGCAGTGGTAGTCACGTGAAAGTCCTTGCTCTGCCACCTTGGAGTAGGTGGCATTTGGCATACTTCTTAAAGCATTCCTTGTCTTGTGGTAAATACAAAACAATCAGAGGGAGCTTCATCCCAACAGCCCAATGACAGACGATACTGGGATTTTAAATAGTCATAACGCTGGAGGAGGGTCATCTTTCGTGTTTTACATCCTTACAGCCTGTTAATCTCGCATTCCCAACTCACTGCAGGAAACAGTAAAATGATGGGTTTCCCGCTCGTCACAGGCAGTGGCATGTGCAGGACGGGCTTGAGGAAGCTGCCCAGAAGGATACGGGATTTCAGATCTCAGATGTCTGTCATGTGTTGGCTGCACCTACCCTACATGGCAAACCTACTTCTTGTGGTCCCTATCCCCCGATTACTGTGGCCAGGGGATGTTTTGAAGTCACAACCATCACCTTCCAAGCCCATCTGGTCCTTTCCAGGAAGGCAGGGCTATTGGAGAACAGTGCTCTCCCAGGACCCACCCTGACAAAGAGCTGGGGCTAATGTGCTCCCTGGGAGTAGGTGCACTCAAAGCTCACCCCCTCTGCAGTGCAGACAAGTGGCGAGACTCACCAAAAGCAGGTAGTTACTGCACTAAGTACTGCCAGTCTTTCACCAACTGGCAGGAAAATGAACTTAGGGTAATGGGGCCCAATTATGGCATCTATCTGAAAAATTATAATGCTCTGGCCCACAAATCCTGCAAATAAGCTGCTGCAGTCAAATCAGAAACAATCACACAGCTGACATTTGTCACCACTTTCATTCAAAGTGACAAAAAAAAAAAATCAAATAAAGGTTGAGTGGAGGGCTTATCGTGTGAGCATTTACTTATTCAACAGAATGAGGGTATAACTAATCACTGCAGATGTCTTTTAGAAATATAAAATGGGTCCAAGAGTATTCATAACCTTTTTATTCTAAATTGCCAACAAGAACCTTAACAGAACTGAACTTTAAGATAATCCTAATCTTGCACATTCTAGTCACCAGGTATTATTTTATACTGGTAGTAATACAAGTGGTGAAAATACAGTATTTGGAGGAACATTCTTTTCCAAATGTGAAAGGCATTAACTTCTTTCTAGACAGATACCATGTCTGGTTTCTTAATTCTTTGTGTTTGTATATTTAGATACCATTTTGTACTTCGCATCCATTTTTAGAAATACACGGCTTGATCCAAACATTTACTGTCCCAAATGTATTTTTAGTGATTTAAACCATTCCTGCCTCCTCCCTCCCCACCAACCAGGAAGAGTAACATTAGAGCTCTCAAATATGTTTTAAGTGTTAGAAAACTACAAAATCCTAATGGAAACTAGGCAAGTACTTAAGTGTACTCTTTAAACTTCACCTGTTTGGTATTAGGCATATTGTGAGGAATTCACGGAGGATTCTCCGTTATTGTATGACTTGAAGCACCACGCACCCCCGTGACAAAGCTCAGGCTTAAGGCTTGAAGCTGCGAAGGCGCGATCAGGATGCTTTCTAGGAAGAAGACAGAAGTTTGTAAATGACAACGTAGTTTAAAACCAACTGTCCACTTTACATACCCGATATGGACAAACTCAGATGCTGACAAGATAAAAAACAAAAAGCGCATGCACAGAAAAAATACTTCTAGGTTTTTGTCTGATCCAGATGATTTTAATTAAACATTATGCAGTAGGAAGTCTCAGCCTCTTTACAGGCTGGAGAAACTCTCAGAACTTACTTTATGCTCTGCAGGCTGTAACAGGCCCTCAAATATGACTTCACTACCTACAGATCTTATGACCGCAGCTTACTGCAGAGAAAGTTTTCTGCACCTCCCCAGCAAACAACCAAATGTTCTCACAAATGCCCAGTAAAAGTTCCACAGAAATCACACCAGACACCCCATAACCCTGAGAACAGTAATACGTAGTATTGCTTTGCAGATGCAAGACACATGTTTATGGTGCAGGGTAGAAATTCCTGGAAATTACTCCGTTGTGTGGTTCCTGACCTCCACTGAAATGGGACTACACCAAGGGCTGAATTCACACAAATCTGCCATTTTTGCAGGGTATTTCCTCTCCCCCTCCCCCAGCATAACTGCATCCCTTCATTTACAGTTAGCACAAAACATCATAAGTACACAACTCTGAAGGGGCCTCTTTTGCAAATGCACACGCTTGTTTTAAAGCATCAAGCTAAGGGACAAGATTTTAGTGGTATGTGCCACCCCCCATGATCTTCTGTTTCCCACTATCACTTCTCTGATTAGGAACCTAATCAGACCCCACCTCCTCTACTTAAAATCACCCCCCCTTCTCCACCCCCTAAACCCCATCACCACTTCAGAAGAGTTTTCCTGCTGTTTCCAAATCATGGGAGCAAACAGAACAACTTCACAGATCATCAGCGCTGCCATTTGACAAGTGAACCAACAGAGACTTGCTCATTCTTGCATTTTTCCTGTTAACTACTCACTGCTGTCTGAGGGAAGGGTTCTGAGTTGGTGCCCTGTAAATTTATTAGTCCATTTACTCAAGAACAGTAACAAAGATCACCAAATGAAGATCAGGGTAACTTATGAAACAAATGCTTGGGAAACAGATTTGGCAACCTAGGGCGGTTTTACAAATTCAAATGTTGCAAAAACATGTCATGCAGCAACAGCCAAGTCTACAGCGTCCTGCCATCAGGTCCAGAGAATACCTCCCATCTGCAGGAGCTCTATGGTCCTAGAAAGGGAGCCATTTAGTGCCGGGGGGAACGCACTTCCAGGGGGAAGAGACACTAATAGTCCCAGCTCTGAAAAGGGTAAGATACATTTTTTGCATGAGATGGAGAAAAATACAAGAACTTCCTCCACTCCCCCAGGCGAGAGCGGCCTTTGCTGAAGCAGCACTTGTCACCTTGGCAACAGAGCGTATCTACAAGTGGTATTTTAATTTGGTTTGGCAGATTCAGGCTGATGCTATGGCAATTGCACAGTCACTGGCTTTTTCAGAAG